GATTTCACACTTTTCCCTACCTTGCTCCTTCAAGGGCAGCTGAGTTTGATACAGACAGATGTTGACTTTAATCTGTGCTACAAATTAACATTTTCTCTTATTTACCAGTATATTCCTTCTGGAACAAATCAGGATCCAGGCTGCTGGCAGTGCTGGCAGTCTCAGAGTCTATTTTTAACCTTCTTCCCCTCTCTTGGCACATCAACTTTTTTTTTTATTCACTGTGAGAGAGCTCAACAGAAAGAATAAATAATAACAAAACAGATTAATTAAATTCAGTGTCACCTTCGGTGCTAGAGGAAATAAAATGACTTGAGAGAAATCTAGTGTAAGTCATTAGCATCGGTCCCTGGTGAGGAACAGTACAGCTTCCCTCTGCTTTGGGGGGAGAACGGGTCTCCTAGCCCCTGAGCGATGCTGTCTCCTTCCCCTCTTGCTCCCTGGGGGTGAGAGGCTTTTCCCTCCAGCCAGGAAATACCAAACCATGAAACACATCCAGTCCAACCAAACCCCACCATAGCCAGGGAATAGCCACCATTTATCCATCTGGGATGAGCGTCAGGTGAAATGATCAGCCCTCGCTCGAAACCGAGGGCACGAGAGGCAAAGCAATTTTCCTTCCTATTGTCCGACTACTGTGTCTAGGGACGATGCAGAAGATATTCCAAAGAAAACGTGCTTCAGGGAAGAAGTGAGCAAGACGCAGCTGGAGAAAGCCCTGAGAGCTGGGTTTCCAGAGAGTCCTTTGGGGCAGAGTGCTTGCTGGAAAGCCTTCCATGCAAAAAAATTACCTCCTTTTATTCGTTCCTTCTCATATTTAAGAAAAGTTACTCTTATGCCACTTGGTAAATAAACAGGATTATATTGGAGATACCGGCTCCCATCTTTATTTTCTCCTTCCCAAAACATCACAAAGAAGCTAGAATTTTGCACAAATAATAAACTTTCCATCATTGTTGCCACAGTTTGGTCTGAAAAGATCTTTCACAACTCGAAGCGGGACGGCGAGAGCGCTGCAGCTCAAAACCAGAGTTCAAACAACGAAGTGCGCGCGCACGTTGGCCCAAAATCTGGGTTCTGCACCTGGTGTGCAAGAGCCCATCGACACGCAGAGTCAAGGTATTTGGGGTTATTTCTAGTCTGCAGAATACAGTAACACAACGTGGCCGACTGGTGTTCTTAAACTTCCTTATCCACCTTTCACCTGCCCCCATCACACATAGGCATTTTACTTTATGTTTCAAACCTTTGGGGAGGTTCCCTAATTAGCACGCTCGTTATTCACAGAGGGGTGTACATTTTAGTATTATCATGAATACAGGTTAGCTGAGGATATGCTATTTCTTGATACTATTCCGAGGCTAGATATATTTTATATACACTTACAATAGGGAAAGAATACTTTGAAGGGTCCTACTGTTCTAAATCCTCAGTCCATTGAGAGATCCTATCCTGGTTACTATAGTTTCAGAACATACCATCAAGGATACTTCGGGTGGCATATACTTTTACAGTTTTAACCCTTGTTTTTCCTACATCGCGCTTGGATGTGAACACCCTTGATTCGCACACAGAATTCTCTCCACAGCAAAGCCATTAATTCAGAGAACTGCAGAATACTGCCCCGGCTTTCTAACTTTGCCAGGCTCTTAAGCAGATCACTGCACTGCAATAAAATATTGACATATTGCCTCCCACACCTCCACGTGCCTTCCAGCTCTGTAGCCTGATTCCCCAGGGAGCGGGCTGACAACAGCAGGGACGTGCATGTCTCCAGCAAATTAATAAAAAACTTTTGATAATTGCATCTGGTTTGGTTCTTAAAAGGAGGTGGGAACCAAGGGCTGAGGAAGAGATGACCTGTCGTCACAACTACAAGCAAGGTTTCCCTTTCCAGCACAATCCTTTGGGGTGTTAGGGTCCTCAGGGCACCCGTGAGCCTTAATGGCCCCGATAAGCCCCAGCTGAGGGGGGATCCACACCCTCTGCCTGGGGACCATTTAAACTCCTGCCGGGGGGTTTCCTTTCTCCCTGAGTTGCTGTTGTAGGTGTACACCTTTCTGGGGCTGGCTAGGTCACAGCAAAGGCTGCTTGGTCGGGGACCTTGTTCTAGACTCTGACCTGTACACTCGCTTTCCAGGTTGACCTTGGATCTGCCTTGTAATTGTTAAGCTTGCATGAAGATCTGGACTTTTAGTTGAATCTGACCACCACCATCTCTGAGTCTATTGTTTTCACCCTGCTTGGGTGCCGTGGGATGGAGCCTGGGCTGGCAATCCTCTGTGCTGCTGGCTCCGGTACCGCACGTGGCTCCCTGTCTCTTGGGGAGCAGCAAGAACTTAATTATTGCCAAGCTTCCAGCAGCCTCCCGTGGCTGAAGGTCTGCACCTTTCTGATGGGCTTTGAGATGCGGCAATGGTAAGCACAGAACAAAGTGCCCCACAGAATTATGAGTTATTTCTGCTGTTAGTAAGAATGATACACCTGACTTCTGTTCTGGTACAGATTAGCCAGATGAGTTTTTACTGCTGGACACTGATAGAGCTGAAGTTTCTGAGACCCTTTTGGATATCTAAGAGGCTCTACAAGAAGAGTTGTAGAAGGAAAAAAAAGTGGTAAGTGTGGATCAACTAATGATTTTCATAGCTGGGGAATTGCAAAACAAGTATGGACATTATTGAACTGTTTAAAAACTACTTATTTGTTTCAAAAGACTTCCATCTCACTGGTATCGCTCATTACACCTTTGAAATCTGCATCCTCACGCAGCATTTCAACTCACTTCAATTCTAAAGCCTCTGTTTTGATATTGATTACATGTGGCAGACTGCAAATAGTCTGTTTGTCTCACTGCTTGCTTTCTACAAGGAGTGTGTATAGCCCAGGGTCAGAGGGCACTTTCAGCAGCAAGAGGACAGAATCTGTTCAATTATATTCTATTTCAATTAGAAGGCAATCCTTCTGGCTTCATGAGCCTGTGTCTTCGTAGGGTGATAGCCTACATCCTGCAGTCAGGAAAATGATTCCTAGGACATGGGTGCCTTCTAATTGAAATAGTGGCCTGTGGCTTGGAAATCTACATCCTACATCACTTGGCTTTGAAAGAAGCCTGTGGAAAGCTCTACATATATCTGTTTCTAAAACTTGCATAATAAGAGATGTTGTGCACGTAGTCAATACATGGAGTACCTGGCACAACAGAGCCAAACTTTGATTATTAAAAGCAGTACCGGAAATCCGTAACAGTCTGCTTCACCCATGAGTGGTGAATATTGAGCCTGGATGTTGTATTTCATCACCTCCTAAGCGACTTGGCTTTGTCTGAGGCTGCTGTTGAGCCGTGGTATGTTTGGGGTGCAGCTGCCCAGCCCCAACTTAGCATCTGGCAGAGCTCTTCTAATGGGCCACCAGTAAATGCTTCATGAGCAGGTCTGTCCAAGTCCTTGGAGAAAACTGTCTTAGCTTTAATTTTGCTGTGCATATTGTTACAGCCATCCCGTAAATAAGTAACACAGACAAACACACCAAAACACCCAACAACGGCAGGGAGATGGGCACCAAAACGTACAATTTTTAACAAAAGCATTTAATGAAGGAAAGCTAACACTCATCTGTATTATAAAAATCACTTTACACTTAGCATTTTGTGAACCTCGTTTTTCTAACCTTTTTCTAGGGCAGAATTTTCTGAGAGAAATAGCATCGAGTGGACCACAGGACTCCTGGATTCTTTCCCTGACTTGTGCCATAGATGAGCTGTGCCTTCTGTACCTGTGCTACCTCAGCTTCCTCTGGAGTTGAGGAAGCTTCCTCCCTCCTGTAGAACTATGATCATGCATGTACGAATGCTTCTAAAAGGCTACATAAATGTGCAGATAGCACTGAAATTCTTAAATAATATTTCTCATATGAGGCAGATCAAATAATTGATAATTGCTGTGCTTTCACTGCAAGAATATCAATATATTCTGCAAACAGTAACAGTGATGGCTGCAGAGAACAGAAGATTTCCGAGGTAGATGATAGTGATTATTACCAATTTCTCTAAGGTTTTTTAATCTAGAGAGAAGCTGTAGAAAATGAATGGGAGGCAGAATAATTAAAATTGAAAAGGGACCATCTTGACCTGGGAATGTCTGGTTTGAGTGTGGCTCTTGGGTGCTGAGTGCTAAATCACATCGGCAGTGAGACGGATGTAAAGGATTGGCTGGCGCAGAAAGCAGCTTCAGAATCTGCTCTCTGAACAGGGCAGCGTTGCAAAGCTCTGGGAGCCAGCTCCGAGAGGAAGATGCTGCTCGTATTTGAGTGCCTGTGACTGCAGGCAGCTGAGAGCACTGAAACCACACACTGCTCCAGCCTTTGCTTCCAGGGAAGGTGCGGGCAAGGACTCCAGCAAGGCAGAGAGTGGAGAAACAACTGCTGTTCGTTATCTTCACTGGTCACTTCATTTGGATGAGAGTTGAGCAGGAATATTTACTTGAGTACAGGGTGAAGAGCATGGAAAGATGATTTGAAGCCAAGGATCTGTCTGAAAGTATCTAAGCCTGATATTCTTAGCAACCAGCAGTGCTCAAAGGTGGAGGATGCTAAAGCTAGGCACTCTCTGGAACCAAGCAGCCTCTCAAAGCTAAGACAGCAACTGTTTGGGACCTCTTGGGATCATAATCCTAGGAAGAACAACAACAAATTCAGCAGTACTATGGATTCAAAAGCAAAAGAATAGCTATTGCCTGACTTCCAGCAGCTGCATCGACTTTGAAACTGAGGTTGGGACACTGCTGGAAAACATTCTGAAAGGAAGCAACCTGTGCTGGTCAGGTCCTGGGAAAGCAGGTGGCCAAACGAGGGCTTTCCCTCCTTGCGCTGTTGTGATCACTGGTTAAGTGTTCTTGTCCGCGTGTGGAAGAGGCAGGAAAAGCCTCTGCAAATTACTTCCTAGGCCAGAAGCAAAGAAACCACTTTGGACAAGAGTGTGGGCTGATTAGCAACCTTCTTGAAGAATGTCTGTCCAGGACACTGAGGACTTCGGAGCAGAAAACCTCTCAGAGAAGTCTCGGATGATTCCTAGCCTCCCGCCATATGACATGGATGACCAGCTCCTTCCCAGGGAGCCACGGAGTGCCTGGTGTTGCTTGGTATGGACGCTGGTGGTAGTCACCATGAACTCCTTGGTCTTTTTCATTAATTTTCTCCTGATGCTTATTATCTTCACCATTGTGCTGCTTCCTACCATTGTGGTGGTTTACTTTGGCTTCCAATGCCACTCTCAGGTAAGTGAGCCTTGCTCCGTTTGGCTGCTAACGGCCACCTCTGAGCAGGGCCATCCGTAAGGGTTTTATTTCAACCCATGGGGCATAGTGGCTGTAAAGGCAAGGCTAGGCTCCCTGGGCTCTGGCTTTGTTTTCACAAGGGGTGTGTATGTGTATAAATTTTTTTGGGGGGGTGTGTAGTGTATGGAATGGGCTGGCAAGAACAGGTTTATGGTGGTTCGTGCCGACCTGCGGGCTCTTGGTTGTACAGGGGAGCGGTCTCTCTGCTTGGTGCCTCGGACACAGCTATCAGCAGGGCTGGCGTGTGCGTTTGTCTAGGGAAGTACAGGCTTCACGGTTTCTGGCCTAATTGGCCTTAAAGCGGGTGCTGGTTGGCACCCATACATAGTGTTGGCAGGCTGGGACAGGAGGACTCTCACCACAGGGGCAGAACACTGGCAGAAGCTGGCTGTGAGTGCCCTGCTCCTGGGGGACTGAGATAACGTGGGACCCCTCGATCCCCATCCCCTGTGCACTGCACGCTTGTTTAAGTGTAAAGTGATCAGAGAAATCTGCAGCGTTTCACAAGCTGGTGTGAGATGCCAACCTTGTGGGCACATCCGAGTGCTGGCAGGAATGAGCCAGATCCATTTCCCACAATACTGGGAGAAGGGAGGGGTAAAAATGTAAGCTTGATTGGGCAATAAAGTCATTTTCCCAAGAAAATAACAAGCAGCTGTTACAGACCAGGTGACTACACTCCCTGGCTTGACAGAGTTGTTTGCATTTCAATGTCACGATATTTCTTTCTTTCCTGTGACCTCTGCTACTGAGAGCTGCCAACCCGGACTCCTCTAATTCACGCAAGTCCTACACAGGTCTGTTACCCTCCGTTTAAGTAAGCCCTCTACAGTGTTTGTCATATTTGATCTGCCTAATTATAGGACTAGTAAAGCCTAACAGAACATGTAACCCTCTTACGCCACCCTAACGCTCAGATGTGTTCCCAAACGTGCTGCACAGCTTCTCACACCGACAAACGACCCACCTGGTCAGCGAGGGCTCTGGCTGTGTGCATGTCTGTTCTGCTCGGCTGCTGCCCTCCGGGTTTCATTGGTTCTAAATTTCTGCTTGGTAGAAATTATTTCTGTAAATATTTTTGGAATCACTTGAGTAAGTGTGGATGTGAAAAAGCCGTTTGCCTGTTTTCCTTGCTGGCAGTAACTGTTACACCAGCTCAGTATGACTTCTCTTGCTGATTATCTGAAGTTAGAAGAGCTCTTTTGCTTCCTACTTTGGGGGGAAACCCCCCTACACACTGTAGTACCTGCTCCCAGCAGGGAGAATTGACTCAAAATACAGATGCTATTGGTCTCCCCATTCCACAGAATCTGAACTAAAGGGAAGATTATTTAAATCTTCTCAAACATGTATTTACCAGAGAAATATTGAAAGAAGAAATTTTTTCCCCTTCCTTTGAATGAAATCTGTGCATCCTATCCAGTCACCCAAGTCCTTGGGACCTCTGTCTCAGTAAGCAGATCCTGGCATGGGCGGAGGAAAGGATCCGACCATGCAGCAGGGTCAGCCATTTGCCCAGTTTAACCCAGTAAGGCCCTGCTGACTCCAGTGGTGCTGTGCCATGGGTATAGCTGTGGAGGTCCACCTCCACAGTGAAGGAGGAGATGCCCGCTGTGCCCAGCTGAAGTGTAAAATCACGTTTCCCAGATGTGTGAACCATCACTCAGCTCTGGGAGAACTGCTGCTTTGGCAGGACTCGGCACCAGTGACATTTACTCCGAGGAGCTGTGAATGTGCAGTAAAGGTGCTTGTTGTGTAGGTGGAATCTTTGCTCGCTTGAGGCCTCTAAACCCTGGGACACAACAGCTTGCTAAGACATAGCGTTGCCTGCAAGCCTTTACGGCTTTGGGGGATGTGCTGTGACTTTCCGACACAGGCACTGCATTGTATTATTCAGCTGACATCCCAGCAACACAAATTCAGCCCACAGCTCCGCATCTCAAACCTCCCTGACCAAGGGACTGTGCTGCTATTGTTTTCTCAGTACTGATGTATTTGTTGGTCTGGGAAGTTTGGCTTTGATTTTTATTGCCCTGAAATTATGATAACTTGTAGCTGCTGTTATGGAAAAGCTTTTCCTGATCCTGCAAACGAATGAAGAGTGAGATATCTGTCATGGTAATTGGTTTGTAGAACAGGGCAGACACAAGTGCTGCCGCTAGTTGGAGCGAAGCATAATTCAGAGAGAAATCACGTACCTCTGGGCCAGGCAATTCCCACTGTGGCTCGGATGCCTTCTGGAAATGTTTTATTATGGGATGCAGATGCGCGCGATGCCCCGCAGGGTAACGCGGGAGGCTCTGGAGGGCCTGCAGAGCAAAAGCGGCTCAGAGGGGTCCTGGTCTACACGAACAGTCGTGCAACCCGTCTTCATTGTGGGTTGCAACGCTTTCCTCTTCCTGTCCGTGACTGTTAGGGTTTTCGCATACAAAAGGACAGGTGCGTAGAATGACTTCTGTTTTATCGAGGAGCAAGTCTTCACAAGAAATAACCTAATCGTCTCTCCTTGGAGAAAGCGCGGTGTGGGTCATTGCCTTGGTAAAACGGCTGGTCTGTCTCCACAGGCACAGTCTGGGTGCAGGCTCTGTGAGACATGAGACTTTTCAGGCAGGGTTAATAGCAGATTGCCTGTAAAGCCCTCAAATCAATTTTTCCCGTGATCTGAAACTGGTCCTTGAAAGTCATAAATATGGACTTCAAATTGGACCTGAAATGGGAAAAAGTACAAGGACTGCCTCCTGGAATTACCCCTTCCAGCTTCCCTCTGCTCAACCCTCACCTTGGGGAAAACCTCAGGTTCTCCTTCGCACGCACACTGCTTCCCAGTCGAAGGCTTTGAGGAGATGCAAAAGGTTTTCAAGGACAGCCAAGTGCATCAGAAGTGAAAGTAACGGTGTTGCTGTTAGCTGTAGGGAGGCTTTTAACGCAGACTCGTCTCTAATAGACAGAGAGAGGGAATGCGGTGGCATGGCTTGACAAGAGCACTCCTTTGTCCTTGGGCTACGGCTTTTCAAGGCTTTCCTAGTAGCCAGGGGCCGATTGCTGCACTACAGATCCATTAGATGGTTTTTTTTTTTAGTATGATGGGTTGTGTTTCTTGTCCTGATGAAAGAATATGGAAAAAGAAAAGAAAATGAGGGGACGTGGGGGCTGCCTGTAGCATTTGCTAATGCAGAACAACCGAGTGGTTCGACTCAGATCTCCTGCTGCGGGGCTGAAAGGAGGGCTTTAAATACGGCTCAGCAAGGACCCGTTAGTGTGCTGGATGCTTTGCAGCAACATGGGGTGAATGGGCTTTCCTGGCAGACTTTGATTGCAAAGAGATGCTGGGAGGTAGAAATGGGGACAGTGTGTATGCAGAAGGCAGAACACAAAGGGGTCTGTTCAGGGCAGGAGTCTGGAGAGTCTCCAGCCAGCGAGGAGCTGTGGAATGACCAACCTCTGTCTGCAGAATCTAATATTTTTGCTGTATTTTATTTACTTTGTTGTAATTTCCAGCGTGTTGTGCCACCCGCATCGATGTAGCACCAGGAGGCCTTTATATTTGGTTTCTGTCAATCAAATGCTAAGCTGTGCTATTCTGATGACTTAATAAAGATTGGCGTTGCCCGCTTCAGGATCAGCGTGCAGTTCTCCTGTCTCAGCGATCCTGGAATAATTGCAAGCTTGATTAAAATGTGGTGTTAGTCACATAGGGTAGCCTGAAGATTGCTGAGCTCAGCTCAGAGAGGGGGAAGAGGTATGTCTTCCTGGGAAAGCACTAGAAACTCAAGGGTACTTTGGCCACCGCTGTGATCCACCACCAGGTCTGTGACAAGCTCTGTCTCGCTCTTCCCACAGGTGCTGCACTCAGCTGCCCGCTACTGCAAAAGCATCTTGGATGACAACAGCTCTTCTGCCCTCATTATCCTCGGCTTTGTAATCATGTCCCCTCTCATTGTGGTGGCCATGGCTATCTACTGCAGCCTGGCAAGGCGTCTCCATCTCTTCATGTGCTTCCAGCCGTACAGCAGGGCTGTCTACAAGGGGGTGAAGTGGCGCTGGTACGAGGAGGGAGGCCTGTGTGGCTGTGCCAAGGGGTGGAACGCTCAGGTCAAAGCCTGGGTATGAGTTTGCAGCACCGGAGTTCCTGCCCTAGCCGGAACCCTCTTTTCCCTGCCCTGTCCTTCCCCACCATCACCTCCCACCATCACCATCCTGAGGTCTCTGCAGATGGAGGCTGTGTAGTACCCAGATGGCAGAGGAAGGGAGCTCTGTTAGAGTCATCTCCTACAGCTTTGGAGGTGGGTAGGATTCTGCCCACCACGAGGGGAAAAACAGCAAACACAAGTCCTTGATGGTAAAGACAATGTTCAGCCCTGAAAAGGATGCAGACTCCTCCCAGTGCCTGTTCCCTTCAGAGCACTGTTTCCAGTCCTGACAGCGTGTTCTGCCTCACATGGGGACATAGAGCACATCTGTGTTGGATTAAACAGTGGTGGGAGCGGCTGCTGACTTTGCTGCATGCCTCAGAGGGGTCCCTGGGGGAGAGGCAGCCCTTGGGGAAGTGCTCAGCCGAGAGGAAGCAGCTGGGGCTTTCCCAAGTGTTGGACTGCCAATGTTCCTAACCTCTTGCAAAGGTGTCTGTAGGTCACTGCCTCTGTCATGTTTGGGATCCACCACTTTCCTGCGCATCAGATATTCTCCCCCCACTTGGCAATCCCTCTCTCCCGGGGTCTATAGTCGCCCTTTTGCTGTTCCTGAGTCAGGTCACTGGGCAGGCTGTGGAAACAAATGCTGATCTCTGGGTCTGTGTGCTGCTCATCCCCGCGAGCCGTGTATTCTGCTGGCTGTTGCTCCCCTGTCTCCCAAACAAAACCATTTCAAGTGTTGTGTATAAATAAAGATCATGCTAAATCTCCACTGAGGGAGTTTCTCTTTGTTTTGTCCCAAGCGCTGACTGCATCAGAACCAGCCCCGTGCAACCCTGCTGCGAGCAGAGGGGCAGCAGGGCAGGGTCTCCGCTTTGCTGGCTCCGTGTGCGTGTTCAACCGTGCAAATCCCCTCTGCAAGCCCTCCTTGCTATTCATCCCATCCGGAGAGCTGCATTAAACCAGAGCCTTGACAAGCCACCTCCACAATACTTCAGGTGCAGCTGATCTGATATTTTTCATTTACAGTTCTAGCCCTTGCTTAATGTTTTGATGTACCAAAGAAGGAACGAACAAGGTTGTTCCATCCCAGAACCTGACTGGCTGAAGTAGTTTAGAGTTTGCATTTTAACACTCTTCTCTTGCTCTAGGATTTTGCAGGGTGAAAGTGCTGACTAAATTGTTCTGGTACCATTCAGGAGAGCAAGAATGCATCAGTACTTGCTCAGGCCCGTTATATGAGCATAAGGGACTGCCTGGCTTGGAAAGGGAACTAAAAGTGCAGCAAGGAATTGGCTTGAGCTGCTTTCCTTTAAGCTGAGACTTCTGTCCTTCCATAAGAGGGTGTCTCTTCTGAAGCTCCAGGCTTTAACGATTACTGTTACATCTTTGGATGCTTTGAACCAGTAAAAAAGCAAAGGTTATTTTCTGTAAATACTCTGAAGCTGATGGATTAAGTGGGTGGCACAGGCAGTACTTCTACATTCCGACTTCACTGTGGGACACAGATAGCAGTGGATTCGCTGATTGTCTCCTAGCAAAACCAACATAAACCAAGACGAGGGTGACACGTGCCTCTGTACGGCTTCCTAGAGAATCTTGCAGAACATCGTATACAGCATTTATGACTACCACCCTCTAAAAGGTCCCTGAAACACTAAATTATCTGTCTCTGGCTTGTCCTCCATTAAAACCAAAGATCCAATCTCAAATAAACATTGCCGACCTTCCTGTGTCCTGCAGCTCATCTGATAGACGTGCCCTCATCTGCCAGGGACCACCCACTGCCGTGGTTGGCCCCGGGGGTGACGGGACCGCGTTTGCTCTCAGTGGTGCTTCTTCCGTGAGCTGCTTCGACAGCGGGTTGCCATGCATTTGCATCTGTACAGGGACAAAATCCTGGGGGATAGCTGTACTCCCACTTTGCTGGGCTTGCAGAGGTGCTTGGAGTATGGTGGGAAAGACACACGCAGGAGGGAAAAATTTGGAGAAGGCATCAGCAAGCTGGTCTGGTCCACAGGGCTAATACAGCAGTCCTTCAACTAGTTCCCTTAATAAAGAGTCAACTTAGAGTCAGGAGCACATTGTGCACGTTGTGCCTCAGCCCATCGTAAGTGAAACATCCATCAAAAAAAAAAAAAAAGTAAAAAAATTGCAATCGATCAGGCTGCCAGCCGTGTTCGTTATTCCCTTTTGGTGTGGCCTTCTGTTTCCTCCCTGCGTCTCTGCTGTCGGTCTCTGCCTCGTCTCGAAGAGTTAAAAGGAGAGAAATAGGCCCAAGTTTCTGCCAGGACTGAGGGAAAACAGAAGAAAGTTCTGTTTCATGAAAAGAAGATACCGTGCTACAGGATAACAGGGTTTTGCCCGGAGGCAATGTTTGCTGACTGAGCACAGATATTTGATGTGAGCTGTTGTTCCTTTTGCTCACCTGTCGTTTAATCCGACTGCTTTTACAAGGAAATTTCTTTACCCTAGCTATGGTGCAGCTATTGTCGCGAACCAGTCCCATCGCTGCCTCTGCAGAAGAAATTAAGTTATTGACAACAGCCTTCCTAATGAAACAAAAATTGATTTAATTTGGTGTTTTACTTTACGGGGAGTTTTAATAACGAAGGGGAAAATTAATCTCCCTGAAAGCACGTTTCCTCCCTGTGGCAGAACGGAGCTGATGTTCTGGCTGTACCTCAGGGCTCTCCTGGCACGGGCAGGGAGCGCAGCCACGCGCTGCTGCAGTGCCGGAGCTCTGACGTGAAACTGGTTGGATCCTAAATTTCCTGTAGAGAGTACAGAGACATCCTTAATGTCCTCAGCCCTGGATCAGATCCTGAGGGCAGCCGTGCCAGCCTGCGTTCTGCAGGGCCGATGTGCCGGGCAGGGACCGTGCCCGCAGATGGCGGGGGAGAGGATGCGACGGAGCGATGCCTGCCTCTTCTGACATCTCTCAGACGGGGCTTTGTTCTGCGAGCCCCCAACCCCGTGCAGCGCTCAGAGCACAGCTCTGCTTGGCAGCCTACTGAGGGAGGATGGAAAGAAATGTATTTTAATGGTTTTTTGAAGTCCAGCCATGAATGGATTTAATTTCCCTGCAGCATCCTCTCCGTGATTCAAAGCACTAACCTGGTGCTGATGTACCTCAGAGGACACTAAAATATATTTCCGCCCAACAAGTCTTTGGTCAAGTACAGCGTTCATTTGTGCTTCCCTGCTCCTCCGCCATCGCCGAATGGTCCACATCCAAAGCTGACGAGATCACTAGAAAGATGCCGCGTCGCGGCGGGTGTTTAATCATGACTTCGTCCTTCGCGCCAGGGCTGGAAGCAGCTCTTCTGGCAAAGCGGAGAATGGAAGAGACGCAGTTGCACGTCCGCTCCTGCGTCACAGCCGGGCACATGCAGTGGGCCAGGTGCTGGACCCCTAAATCCATCCACACACACCAGTGCACACAAGGGCGAAATCTTGCCGCCGAGCAAAATATATGAGGCCTTTTACAGGCTTTCACCTCTCTCTCGTTAATAATGCAACTAAGGGGTGCTGATGCTGCTTGCGTGCCTCCCGTTCACCCAGAGAAGGTTTCAGAAAGAGCCCTGCAGTCCGGCTCAGCACCCCGGGCTCCGTTGCTATAGCAATACAGGATTCCTCATCGCCTGCGCACGTCTGCGTGTGCCAGCATCCCCGGCTTTGAGTCAGGCTTCAAGGCAAACACCAGGTATCTAACTGCTGGGCAGCCCTGGGAAAATAGCACGAGAGTCTGGTAAATGAGCAGGGCTGTGAGCGTGTACCGTTGATTTTTAGGCAAAAGTGGTATTTGCAGCCTGTGCTGTGCAGTAGCAGCACTTTTTAAAGTGGCTGCACCTACTATAATATTGTATCTGGCTTTGCATGAGGGAGGCCACAGGCTGAGACACTGACGCACAGGCCCAGAGGGACAGCACCCTCTCATGCCCTGCAATAGTCTCAGTACGCTGGGAGGGTGGGCTGATGGTGGAATTGCCTAGAAAGATCAGGAGTGTTTTAAAGCACTAATTATACATGTCTGTGGGTGGCATGGGGTTTCTCCTGGGGCTGAGCAGCAGTCTCCTGAGGTCCCTTCCAGTCCCACTCACATGATTTTCATGTTCCCTTTCTTTTCCCCTTTTTTTCTTTTTGATTATGCATCTGGCCTAATAAGAGGCTACAAGGCTCTTGAATCAGCCATTGCCGAAGGGCTCACAGCTCTCCTGCCCTGCCCTGCTCTGCTCAAGTCATTCACTGTCCTTAGGGCAAACTCTCTTCTTGGTTACAAGCACCAGCTTGAGAGTTCTTCATCACCTGGGAGCAGAACAGGTACCGCTGTACAGGCCAGCCTGGTAAGACATGAAGAGCTCTTCAAGGCTATGAAAAACATCCAGAAGGACATTCTGAAAGCATTACTCTGTGCTTTGTGACATGAACCAGCATTTGCAGGAGCATTTAATTTCTGGAGTGTGAATTCCCAGTATAGAAAATCACCCGGAAAGATCTGAAAGTGCTGACAGTGGGTGCCAAGCACCTTGAGCCATAGCGGGGTATGTTCTTAATACGAATGATATGAGGCAGCTTCTTTGAGCCAGATTCATGGAAGGTAAAAGAGCGATATAGCTGCAAGGGAGGGAACGAGTCCTAATTTGTGAAAGTTTCCTCCTCGCAAGAAAGCGCTGTTACAGTCCGACTTGACAACACGGAGCCGATTACCCCAGCCCTCCGCTTCCCTGGGCAGACTTTGTCATGGGCCTCAGCATCACTGTGGATAAATGTCTATGGAAACTTTATATACAGATTATATGTGGAGTTAATCTGACAGAAGTGAACGCTAACAGGTTTTGCTAACAGGAGGAAGAGTTTCTCTCAATATATAGGCCTATTAAGGAATTTCTCTGATTTGTACTATGTGTAAGAACTAGTGATGAATAAGCCCAGATGCTCCTGAGATAAAGAACAAATTCTTCTCTCACACAGGCATAG